ATGCATGATCTACAAAATAGACTTGCATGAGAGTTTAAAATACCAGTTATTTAAAGAGAAGTACCTTGTAGTATATCAACACTTATTAAAAACAGAAGCTACACACAGATCAGTGTTCAGGCATCTGGGAACAGCGAGGAAAGGAGGGCTGAGAATTCTGTAACAAAGGAACCGAGTTTTTCCAGTTCCCTCATGGATTAGAGCTGTGTCCGTGATTTTTGTACAGTGCAGAATTCTCAATCCTGGCTGAAGTGTACTTTCTAAATGTGTGTGTGTGTGTGTGTGTGTGTGTGTGTGTGTGTGTGTGTGTGTAGGCCGGAGGACCATTTCTGGTGTCATCCTCAGCAGTTTGATCGACCTCCTCTGAGACAGGGTCTCACCTAGACTTTCTTGCTGTGGACCTCAGGGGTCCTGCTGTTTCTTCTTCCCAGCACTGGAATTACCGGTGTGTACCACAAAGCCTGGTATTTTTAGGTGTGTTCTGGGGATAAAACTCAGGTCCTAGCTTGCAAGGCAAGTGCTCTAACTCAGCCATCTGCCCAGCTCCTGAGACCTACCTTTAAGAGAACAAAAAGCCAGAAGTGTTGGCACTCTCACAGAGCCAGAGTACAAAATTGCAACACAGAGCCGTAAAGAATCCTAAATTAGAAGGGCAAGATTGCAGCAAGAACAGAAAGCTTTCTCACCTGTCTTTTTAAATCATTTGACTACACTAAATACGTCAAGATATTAAGTGGATAGAGGTAATATCCAGGCGCGGCGGAGGCGGGTGAATTCCAATGAGTTTGAGGCCAGCCTTATCTACATAGTGAGTTGTAGGCCAGCCAACGCTACATAGTGAGACCTTGTCTCAAAGACAACAACAAAAGGAGAAAAAAGTATAGGTAATCAAGGCATGGTGATTCCCATCCGTAATTCTCAGCACTCAGAGGGATGGGAAGTAGGGTCATGAATTAGTAGCTGTCCAGAGTAGCATAACAAGACTCCTATCTTTCTATGCATGTATGTATGTATGTATGTACGTATGCATCATCTATCTATCTATCTATCTATCTATCTATCTATCTATCTATCTATCTATCTATCTACCTACCTACCTACCTACCTACCTACCTACCTACCTATTCTATCTATCTATCTGTCTGTCTGTCTGTCTGTCTGTCTATCTATTTTTAGAAAGGAATTTACAGAGAGAGAAGATGGCAGATTCTAGACACTCAGAACATACCTGAATCCCCACAAATCTAAATGATAACAGGAAGTGCATAGCTATAGGGGGGATGGGTAGCATGGAACAGCACGGGAGTGTAATTGCAAATAATACAGACAGACTAGGTGAGACCCAGAAACTTCAGAGCTCTACAATGAACAGAGGAGTCTAACATCAGACAGCATGGTAGAGGGGGAAGAGACATTTCCCCAGTGAGATATTAGCAAATAAGAAAAAGAAGCCTGCGTGGGTACACAGTCTGGCGATGGTGGCGCACGCCTTTAATCCCAGCACTCGGGAGGCAGAGCCAGGCGGATTTCTGTGAGTTCGAGGCCAGCCTGGACTACCAAGTCAGTTCCAGGAAAGGCGCAAAGCTACACAGAGAAACCCTGTCTCGAAAGACCAAAAAAAAAAAAAAAAAAAAATGTAGTTTAGAAGAGAGTATCTGTGACCTGTGCAACAGGAGCTGCAAAGGTTCCCTGTGCTTCCAGCATGCCCACTGACACTGCAATGAAGAACATTCTAAGAGTCTTTCCAGCAAATCCTTCAGCAGGAGCCCCTGGGTATAGATATCTCTCAAGCACCAAAAGCCACTCTTCTCCACTAGGTAAGTGGGTGATAGCCCAAGACTCAGGAGGCTGGTTGTGACCTCCACACTGCCTTTTAGACACTGCTTTGGGAAGTGTGGACCAAGCTGAGAGGAGAGTAGAAGGTGCTTACAGGTGGGGCCTGTGACCTTACCTCTGGGAAAGGGATCAAGGCTAACGGCACATAAATGGAGCAAGGGTTGGAACTGAGAGTACAAGTCTGTCCCTGCTTTATCAGGAGAAACTGGTTCAGCTTGATCACTTCTGATCCTCAGAGTCCCAGAGATTGCAAGTGGAAACACAGTGCTTGGGCATTCTCCACTCCCATGACCATAAAGGCAGAGTGCTGATGCTGTCAGGCAAACCCAAGTAACTGGTCCCCCATGTTGGCTAATGACAACAGCCCGAGGCAGCCCCTACACAACCCTGGTAGCTGTGTGGGAGTAAATATGGAGAACTCTGGCAGGAACAGCCTAGCTGTCACGATAGTGCACACCTCAGCAGGGTGGAATACAGTCGGCAACAGTCCTTTGGCTCTAACTTGTGTGCCTCCTACACCAAGTAAACTTCAAAGAGATGTTGGCTGGGGGAAGGCATGCCATCCAAACCCTCTTTCTTTTCAGCAAAAGAATAATAATGTGTTTTTATTTTTTCTGGCTCTGTATTGTTTTTTACTGTGTTTTCCCTTCACGGTTCTTTCTTTAAATTCAGAAATTTCTTTTTTTTCTTTTAACTTTTTAAAATTTTTACTTGTATTTTATGTGTGAGTGCTCTGCATGCATGCCTGCATATCAGAAGAGGGCACCAGATCTCATTACAGATGGTTGTGAGCCACCCTGTGGTTGCTGGGAATTGAACTCAGGACCTCTGGAAGAGCAGCAGCCAGTGCTCTTAACTCCTGAGCATGCTCTCCAGCCCCCTCACTGTTATTTCTTAGACCTTCAGTCTGTAATCTTTCCCACCTTGATTCCTTTTGTTTCTTTTCCCTATCTCCATTTCTCTTCTAATTTAATTATTAATGCTTTCACCTTCACTAATTTTTAAACTCCTAGTTCACCTGAGAATTATCCTCACTCTTTTCCCCCAGTTGCTTACTGGAGATGTAGCTGATGTCTTTAGTTATTTTTCTGTCACATTTAGATATCAGCCTTGTTTCTCAATTGTCATTATTGAGATCTACATTGTCTCCTTTGAACGGCAATGAGGACTGAGACCTAAAACTGAAAGTAACACACATACCAAAAGATGCCTAATTACAATGCAGAAATTGAATAAATAGGAAAGGAAAGGCAATCTGACTTTTAAAAAAGCTTGTAACCCTCAGCAATGAAATCAAAATGTATCAAAATAGTTGGAATGTGTGGTGGATTGAATAGGTATGTCCTCCTCCCCCACAGACTCATAGACTTACGTGCTTGAATGCTTGGCCCATAGGGAATGGCACTATTAAGAAGTGTGGTCTTGTTGGAGGAAGTGTGTCACTGTGGAGTGGGCTTTGAGGTCTTATGCTCAAGCTACACCCAGTACACAGTTCACTTCCTGTTGCCTATGGATTAAGATGTAGAACTCTCAGCTACCTCTCCAGCACCATGTCTGCCTGTGTGCTGCCACACTTCTCGCCATGATAACAGACTAAACTTCTGAACTGGTAAGCCAGCCCCAATTAAATGTTTTCTTTTATAAGAGTTGCCGTGGTCATGGTGTTTCTTCACAACAGTAGAAACCCTGACTAAGACGGTGTGCCAGACAAATACTTCAAAGTCTACTGCAGAAAAATGATCTCAAAGAATACGTACATAAACAGATGAATGGAGCAAGGAAGACAGTTCAAAGGAACACTGGTAATGATGTTGGAACTCTGCATGTGTGCGAAGTTTGGGAAATGAAAAGGAAAAAACAAATAGAATAAATAAACAAAACAAAACAAAAACCCTCAGTAGAAAGCATAATCAATGAACATTAGTGATTGGAGACTGAGGTGTTATCCCGTTCAGAAAATTTAAAAAGCAAACAACCATGATCAGAACTTTAAGAACTTCAGCACACAAACAGGGGACCTCTCCTAAGAAACTATGGAACATTTCAAGACCTAGGTTCAGACATGTAACTTTCTTATTTTTTTAACACAGATTTCTTTCTTTCTATTTTATTTTATTTTGAGACATGGCCTCTATTATGTATCTCTGACTATCCTCAAACACACAGAGATCCACCTGTCTCTGCCTCCCAAGTGTTGGGATTAAAGATGTGCACCACCACACCCAGCTTCTAAATATAACTTTCTTAATGCAACCTTAATACCTCCGTGAATAACAGGAAATTTGACAAATGGGATTACATTGAAATAAAGTGCTCCTGCACTTCAAAGGAAACATGAGTCTCCAGCTCCATACTTTCTCCTGTAAATGACAACATTCGGGTAAGATGGCTTAGCAGGTAAGGACATTTGCCACCAAGTCTGATGACCTGAGTTTGATCCCCCACACCCGCATGGTGGAAAGAGAGAGCTGAGTCCTGCAAGTTACCCTCTGACCTCTGGTTTCCGCCCACACATAGAGAGAGAGAATAGGTTGACTCTCATTTCCTTTGCAGTGCAGAAACACTTCATTTTTTAATGTATTAAGGAAAACAAGTGCCCTATGCTTCCTCTAATATGTGGGATTTAGGATGGGAGACCCCCCACAAAAGCAAGTGGGAACTATAAGTGCTGTGGAAAGGAAAAGAGGGTGGGGGACTAAGAGAGGGTGAGAAGGGGGTGGGACATGATCAAAGCATTGTTCGCATGTAGGGAAGCACTGTAGTGGAGCCACATTGTACAGTTAAATCTAGACCAATTAAAGAAAGAATTCTTTTAGGAAGAAATCACAGGAGGGAAAATAGAACCGAGAAGATGGGGCTGCAAGATAAAATCCACCGAGAACCCTAAGAAGTCAGATCAATGACTGTGAATGGAAGTGCATGGAGAGGTGGCCCAAGACACTGAAGAGCATCGGTGACCCATGGGGCAACGTCCCATGATATCAAAAATAATAGGGGAGGAAGACAGGTGAAAAATATATTTTTGAAGAAATAATGACTGAAAATTTCCCAGTTTAATAAAGGTTAGAAGTCCACAAATCCAGGAAACCTGATGAACTCAAGTTTCTCTACATGGCTGCTACTGGCTTGTTAACTAACTTAGATTAGGATGAACGTCAACCTACCTTCCAGTAAGTCATTAATTGTTTGGCCCCACTTGGCAAAGTGAGCAGAGCCGCCTCCGGCCCAGGGAAAGCAAATCAGCTTAAAAACTGCATCGGGCTTTTGATACAAGCAGTTCAAAACATTTTCATTCCTAGGAGGAAAATTCAAATGTATTTAGCATTACATGATGATACAGGATAAGAGTTCAAAATTGAATTAGGTGCATTTTAATGATAATTCTCAATTTACCTACACAGTGCATGTGTTCAAATATGAAGAAATTACTTTCTTTTTCCAAGAAGCAAGGCCCCAAAGGTTTGAATAGTATGTTTTATGATTTTAATTCATAGGGACATAGATGGAACTCCTAGGGACACAGATGGAATGATGAAGTCTCTATGTGTTTTGTGTGTCCAATAAAAATGATATGGTTATTAACTCAGACCTACCTTCTTCCACAGCTGAGGAAATAGTTTTACTCAAACACTTCATGGGCGTCACTCTCAGTGTCTCCATTACTGAGACACTTCTCAAATCATCTACAAATTTTCCACAACATAAACTTTACTCTCTTTTTTTGTTTTGTTTTGTTTTTCGAGACAGAGTTTCTCTGTGAAGTTTTGGTGCCTGTCCTGGATCTCGTAGACCAGGCTGGCCTTGAACTCACAGAGATCTGCCTGGCTCTGCCCCCTGAGTGCTGGGATTAAAGGCGTGCGCCGCCACCACCGCCTGGCAAAATTTTACTCTTTTTTAAGTGTTTGATAAACAAATACTATTAAATCTGTGCATGATATCATTAGAAATTTTATACCAAGATCCAGCATTAAAAACAACTGATCTTAAAAATCGATTTTAAATAGCCATCCTGTATGGATGTATTTGTATTCTCCACAATGTAAACCTCTCTTGGCAAGTTTCCAAATTGATCCTTAAGTTTCTTACAAAGATATGGAAGCATCCCAAATGAGAAACCATAAGCCATATGATAATGATTTTAAGTCTGTTTTGTCTTTTTAAAAAGTATCAATATTATAGTTTGGATTGTAAGTGTCCCTCACAATTCATGTATTAAAGGCTTGGTCCCCAACTGATGGTGTTATTGGGAGCTGGAGGAACACTTGAGAAGTGGGAACTGGTGAAAGGAAGTGAGGTGACTAGGGGTATTCCACTGAAGGGGATCTTGGAGTTTTGACCTGCTCTTTCTCAGCCTTTTTCCTCTCCCTCCTAAGGGGTCTGTAACTAAGCACCTTCACTCTGCCATGCATTCCCTGGCATGTCCACTTTTCTACAGGACCAACACAGCAGGACTCAAGGACTACGGATTGAAAAAACCTTGATTTTGATACAAATGAATGTTTCTCCTGCATGTATGTGTGCCACATGCATGCAGTCCCCACAGAGGCCAGGAGAGGGCATCAGAACTACTGGGACTGGAGTCAGGTTCTGAGTGTTATCTGGGTGCTGAGCACTAAACCTGGCTTCTCTGCAAGAATGAGAGTGCCCTTGACTGCTGAGCCACCCCGCCAGGCCCCCAGTCAAATCTTTCCTCCTTTAAGCTTATGTTTTGACATTTGATCTTGATAAAAAGCAAAACAACAACAACAAACCCCAAACCCAAAACACCCCCCCAAAACCCACAACAACAACAATTAAAAAAAAAAACAAAAACAAAAACAAAAAAAACCAGATTGAGGTCTTTCTAGATACTCTGTTCTCATAAGGAGACTTTTAACTTTATAATAAAATAACTGAGAACATACATACTGTGAGACACTTAATACATGGTCACGGGTGAAAGTTTCTTTGGGATAAAGATAGTTTTAAAAGAAATTTTTTTTTTTTTTTTTTATTGAGACTTGTCAGATATTGCACCTAGGACCTCAAACATGCTGGGCAAACTCTCCACTACTGAGCTGCATTCCCAGCCAAGAAACATTTTTTGACTTATAGCTGAGCATTTAACATTAGATCAAAGTTTTTTCCTTTGAGAAAGAACATTTGTTCCTGGAGCTGTGTTCACACTCATCAACCCCATCTGCACCAAACTGACAGAGACTAGCTGGACCCTGAATAGGAATTTCCCAGAGACACAGCATCTCAAAAAAATCCCGCCGGGCGGTGGTGGCGCACGCCTTTAATCCCAGCACTCGGGAGGCAGAGCCAGGTGGATCTCTGTGAGTTCGAGGCCAGCCTGGTCTCCAAAGTGAGTTCCAGGAAAGGCGCAAAGCTACACAGAGAAACCCTGTCTCGGAAAAACCAAAAAAAAAAAAAAAAAAAAAAAAAAAATCCCAAAGCTGTTTGCTCTAGGGATGAAAACCTTCTATGGAGCCTGCCCTCAACTCAGTTAAAAACTGCAGAAGAAAGGGATGACTTTTCTGATTCTAATTTTTTGGGGGGCTGTAGAAGATTCTAGAAGAACTAACTGAGTCTAACAATTCTTTAAATTTTATTTATTTATTTGGCTTTTTGAGTCAGGGTCTCTCTATGTAGCCCTGCTTGTCCTGGAACTCACTATGCAGACTAGGCTAGTGCTAGGATTAAAGACATGCACTACCATGCCCAGCTTAAAAAAAAATTGTTTTAAAGTCAAGATTCCATCTAGTGATTTAACTGTATATATTCTAATAGACAAAAAAATCTGTTAGGACAAGATTATCTATGAATTTGAGAGCATTGGGGGGGGGTCTTTGAAAAATAGTACAACTTTACTAATACAAAATTAGGAACCAAACTTTTGACTCCCCAGTTTTTAAAAGTAAAATCATGATTTCTAGGTCAGCGGTGAGGACAGGGCCTGCCATTAATTGGTTTAAATCAATGTCAATCTCCAGAATTCACTATGATGAGGCACTAATGCCAATAATGACCCCATGGCCAAGCTCTCATGAGAGGGTAGAACCAATGGCTGGTCCCCGTGTGACTGAGCCTAGACTACAGAAGCACTCCCACCCTGAGGAGGTTCTGCCTATGCCCCTCACATCCAGCCTCCTCTTGCCACTTTAAAGAGAGACCCAAAGACCACCGACAACTGAATACACATTCTCTTTCTCTTCCTTGTATTTTTTTTTTAAATCATCCACAACTTTAGAGTTGAGAGTGACCAGAGAAAATATTTACTCCATTTGTACAGTGTAGTGATCAAGGCAGCAGAGGAAAGGAAGACTCCGACTTCAATCCTAAGTACACCTCCTACCGCAGAGGACCATACCTGAGGTTCCTCACTAGTTAACTGTGAAAGCAAAGCACTAAAAGTCCCACTCATAGTTTTAGGCACTCGTTATCTGTTATGTCTTAACAGTTGACAAAAATGAGACTCAAAGACACTGTCAGGCCGGCGGCGGTGGCGCACGCCTTTAATCCCAGCACTCGGGAGGCAGAGCCAGGCGGATCTTTGTGAGTTCGAGGCCAGCCTGGTCTACAGATCGAGATCCAGGACAGGCACCAAAACTACACAGAGAAACCCTGTCTCAAAAAACCAAAAAGAAAAAAAAAAAGAGTTAAGAAAGAAAAAGACATTAAGTCACCAAACCAGTTAGTGATAAATCAGAATCAGAGCACGGATCCTGCTCATTAGTAAAGCTCTTTGTCTATTAACCCTTTCCCTGCATTCTCACCATCAATGTCACTAAGTGGCAGGAAGTAGGGGACATATCTGAGAAGCTTTGGCTTAGGGTTGGGGCAAGAATGGGTACTTTATGTTAGTGTGTTCTTCCAAACCCTGCAGGTTTTTCAGGCAAGCCAGATATACAATTTAACTAAAAAAATGCTGCCAGGCAGTGGTGGCACACGCCTTTAATCCCAGCACTCGGGAGGCAGAGGCAGGCAGATCTCTGTGAGTTTGAGGCCAGCCTGGGCTACAGAGTGAGTTCCAGGACAGGCTCCAAAGCTACACAGAGAAACCCTGTCACGAAAAACAAAAAACAAAAACCAAAACAAAACAAAACAAAATGCTGCCAAGGGGCCAGCAAGATGGCCCAGTGAGTAAAGGCACCTGACGGTGAGCCAAATGGCTTGAGCTTGATCCTCGGGACCCACATGATAGGAGAAAAGCAATGCTTGCCAGTTATCCTCTGACCTCCGCATAGTCATGGTGGTACACACAACCATCAATCAATTCATTCGTTAAATGTAAATTTTTGAAACCCCAAGTAAGCAGCATTTTATATACAAGTAATTGGTACCATCTTGCACTAAAGGCATTGGGCACCAAACTCAATTTCAGTGATGAGTCTCTCTAATCTAACAAGGCAATCTGACCAAGTCGGGGTGCTAATGCACCAAAGCTGAGGTTAGGGGAGCCAGGAGTTCCCAGAAGTAGCCTACCTGGTTCTCTTGTCATAATCTGTTATCTCCATGCTGTGAGTTGATTAGAAATTGCTGTTCTCAGCAATCTGCTGTATCCTTCTTGAATTCAACTCGCCCCTAGGCACAAAAATCTCCAATAAGCTTTATGTGCACAGAGTGACTGGAATTCCTTTCAACACGTTGACTGTGGTGGTCATTCCCAAACCTGCTTTTAAAAGACAGTGAAGGAGAGGAGGAGAGCAGGAGGAAGAAGGAGGAAAAGGAAGATGTGGAGGAGGAAATGTATGAAGAAGAAGAAGAAGAAGAAGAAGAAGAAGAAGAAGAAGAAGAAGAAGAAGAAGAAGAAGAAGAGGAAGCAAGGGAAGATAGATCAGAGGCAGGACAGCATACGGCAGCCCGGTGTTAGTGGCCTCTGTGTACAGACGGCCATCACTGCGAACATGAACCGGACTTTCAGATGATGTCCATGAAGGCAGACACTCATCCTTTTGAACAGTTTAAACAGTGCCCAGGTCAGTAGATAGAAAACACTTGGAACCTACTGGGAAGTGGGAGCAGAGATACTTGTTTTGAAAATGGATGTCTTAGCTGTCTGGGTATTTACAAAGTTTTGCCCTTTTTAAATAGTAAGAGAGTGTTAGGAATTCTTTTAAAAGGAGTAGAGGGAAATTTATTACTAGATCTGATACTTTGACTACTTGGGTCCACAAGATAACTAAAAACAAGATTAAAAAACAAATTAATGGAGCTGGAGAGATGGCTCAGAGGTTAAGAGCACTGGCTGTTCTTCCAGAGGTCCCGAGTTCAATTCCCGGCAACCACATGGTGGCTCACAACCATCAATAATGAGATCTGGTGCCCTCTTCTGGCTTGCAGGTGTACACGCAGACAGAACATGGTATACATAATAAATAAATAAATCTTAAAAAAGAAAAAAACAAAACAACAGCCAGGCTGTGGTGGCTCACACTTTTAATCCCAGCACTACGTGGTGGGGGTGGGGGTGGGGGTGGGGGGGGTGGATCTCTGTGAGTTCAAGGCTAGTCTGGTCTACAGAGTGAATTCCAGGACAGCCAAAGCTACATACAGAAACCTAGTCTCTGAAAACAAAATGAAACCAAAACAAAACAAACAAAAACCACCACAACAGAAAACCTGGCACCTCCGCCTTCTCTTTGTGTCTACCTTCTTTCCTTTGGGTCCTACACCCACCTGGCTGCATAAGCATCTAACTGTATTAACCATTCAGAGTGTCCATTTACAATCTGCGGCGAACAAAACCACTTTATTTCCCTCCAAGGCTGAAGGCAGCGAGAGTCTGTGGAGATTTGTCCTGACTGTGGGCCAGGCAGGAAAACTCTAGCTACAAATGGCGCCCAACGTAGTGGCAAGAGTTTCCACCTAAAACCTGAGAAGAGATTCTAAAATGGAGCTAAAAGCAGCTTCCTAACTGTCTCTCTCAAATGAGCGGCAGCTGCCGGTTTGAGCTCCTGGCGGGTTCCCAGCGTGCGTGCTCGACCTGCCCTATGGCAGGAATGAGGCCTCTGCAAGTGGCACATTAAGCTGCGTGGTGGATTTAGCCTTTGCTAGTACAAAACAAGAAAAGAGGTTTCTGGGCTACATGCTGCTTGGATAAAAGCATAGACCCACGGTAGCTCCCAGAGCCGGTGATAAAGTACTACCACCATGTTGGGAAGCTGAGGTGGGCGGAGCCAGCAGCCACAGTGCCATTTCAGTCTTAGAAATGCTGCAGTTTAAAGCAATAGGCTCAAGGTAACATAAAAAACAAGCCACGTAAAGATGGCAACCACACAGAGAATCTGGATTATGTTCTCTTTGATATTTGTAACTGAAGAAAAACATTTGATTGCAAAAGCTGTTGAGTTATGCCAAAATGTATATTTTAAAGGTACTTTGACTTCAAAATTTGGATGTAAGGATATGTTGCTTTGGAAAGGAGGCTCTGCTTTTGTTTCCACAGAAAGCCAGAGGCTATGGATTTGTTCCAAATTAAGATACATCAGGTTTGACCAGCCAAGACCCCCTGAAAGGTCTCTGATGACACCATAGACCAGATGATCCAACATCCAGAACCGTTTCAAGGCAACTGGCTCAGATGATACACCCTCAGGGACTACTCCATGATCTTAAAATTTTCTTTGTGTCCCCATAAGATACAGCACCCCCCTCCAGCCAGAAGTAGTAAGAGAAGCTACGCCCAAATTCCCAAATATACCAAGGTGGCTTTTAGATGTGTAAAAGGTAAAATCTTCCTTTTTAAAAAAGAAAAGGCGAAGTGCTGTGTGTAACTTGAGTTTTCCTGCCTGGCCCACAGTCAGGACAAATCTTTGTCACCTGCCAGTCTCACAGCCACTCAGACCCAACCAAATAAACACAGAGACTTATATTGCTTACAAACTGTATGGCCGTGGCAGGTTTCTTGCTAACTGTTCTTACAGCTTAAATTAATCCATTTCTATAAATCTATACTTTGCCACGTGACTTGTGGCTTACCGGTACTTTACATCTTCCTTGTCCTGATGGCGGCTGGCAGTGTCTCTCTGACTCAGCCTTCCTGTTCCCTCAATTCTCCTCTCTGTTAGTCCCGCCTATACTTCCTGATAAATAAATCACTGATTGGCCAGTGGCCAGGCAGGAAGTATAGGCGGGACTAACAGAGAGGAGAATTGAGGGAACAGGAAGGGAAAGGGAGACACTGCCAGCCGCCACCATGACAAACAGCTTGTGAAGACGCCAGTAAGCCACGAGCCATGTGGCAAGATATAGATCTATGGAAATGGATTAATTTAAGCTGTAAGAACAATTAGCAAGAAGCCTGCCATGGCCATACAGTTTGTAAGCAATATAAGTCTCTGTGTTTACTTGGTTGGGTCTGAGTGGCTGTGGGACTGGTGGGTGACAGAGATTTGTCCTGACTGTGGGCCAGGCAGGAAAACTCTAGCTACAAGAGTCATTGTTTGAAACCAGCAGTCTGTGGGTATCAGAACCAGCAAAGCCCATGGGACAGAATGGCGGCCAATCGAGGAGAACTAGGTGCCAGTTAGGACTACTGGGAAGCAGCTGCAGCCATCTCAAGGGAGCCAGCTGGTCTGCTCAGCCAAATGCAGTGACTTCTTGGAACTGTCCAGAAGAACCAGAATGGAGACCGTGAACAAGCACCCTCACCAGAACTCCCTGTTACCATGCCTCTCCCCTGCCCCAGCTCTTCCTTTGTTTACACACCACACTCTGTCTGCACCCTGAAGGTGGACATGGGGTCACTGGATCCCTTTGGTCCACGTGAGTGGAATCTCCGTCCTCTGCCTTTCAACGTCACTCAGTTCTCACTGTCGCTTTAGTTGGCACAGTGGTTTGATAGTACAGCCTAACCTGTCTGGGCTGCTGACACCCTGGGTTTTATCCTTAAGACTCCAGTAATGCTAGCATAAGACTCAGATAATGCCAGCACATCAAACTTCTAATCTTTTAAGCTTCCCTCATTCAGTAAAGAACATAAAGATTACTGTAGTTTATCAACATATAAATGACGCATAATTTGTAAGGATTTTTAAAAAACTTACCTCCTTGCCGGGCGGTGGTGGCGCACGCCTTTAATCCCAGCACTCGGGAGGCAGAGCCAGGCGGATCTCTGTGAGTTCGAGGCCAGCCTGGTCTACAGAGCGAGTTCCAGGAAAGGCGCAAAGCTACACAGAGAAACCCTGTCTCGAAAAACCAAAAAAAAAAAAAAACTTACCTCCTAGGAGTCCCCTGAATCCCTGGCAGTTATGTTAAGACTATGGTTTAATTCACAGCCTCAGTGGTGAACCTCAGGAATGTTGGGTAGAACTGAGACTCAGCCTTCAGCTATGCTCCTTAGGGCGGACAGGACGGCACTGAGAGAAACAGAGAGCCTGCTCACAGAGGGCAGAGCTAGCCTTTTATCTGTAAGGACTCAGAGTCATTCTAAGGTCTCAGATGACTCACCCTGATAATTCACTAGGCCGTCACTGACTCTGTGAGGAAGTTTTTGCTCCTTAGATAACAATACGAAATGCAGCTTGGCATGATGCCTGCCTGCCTTCCCAGCACACAGGTAACTGAAGTACAATGATTGCGAGTGTGAGGTTAGCCAGAGCTAGAGGGAAAGATGATCTCCAAACAAAAGCAAAAACTCAAGCAAAGGAGCCTGTGACCAGCTATCTTTGAGGAGATCAAGCGTTCCTTGGGGCTCAAATTTATGACTCAACAAATATTTTCCTAAAGTCACATTTGGCTGCATGATTTCTCAAGAGTGTCAGGATCCAAAGGCAAAGCAATAAGGATTCTCTTTAAGGGAAACCCCAGGAGACATTTGTTTGCGGCCACAGTGGAGGAACAAAGGCAGGTGGGTTATGCTCAAGAAGCCAGAGCTCAGATTTGACCAGGACTGATACATGACACCAGGCTAAAAGTGAACTGTGCCTAACAGATTTTAAGAGAGACAAGAAGGAAATCTGCTTACATCTGTGCAGCAGGAAAACTGAAGACGAAACTAACAATGGATATTGACAAAGGTAAAGTGAACAAAGGAGGCTAGAACAGGACACAGGGTACAGATGTTATCTTTGAGGAGCAGCAGTTAATTTTAAGCTGCTAGCAATGTAGAAGATCCATAGAAATAAAAAGTAGTTAATTTTCAAGCAAAAGAGAACCACATGGGTGTGTGAGTGTGTGTGTGTGTGTGTGTGTGTGTGTGTGTGTGTGTGTGTGTGTGTGGTAAACCCAGGGCCTTGCTAATATTAAGTGCTTTAGCACTCAGCTACAAAAGCATCTCAGACAACATGGAATTCTCAGACCCAGCAAAAACGTCTTTTAAAAACCTGAGTAATTAGCCGGGCGGTGGTGGCGCACGCCTTTAATCCCAGCACTCGGGAGGCAGAGCCAGGCGGATCTCTGTGAGTTCGAGGCCAGCCTGGGCTACCAAGTGAGTCCCAGGAAAGGCGCAAAACTACACAGAGAAACCCTGTCTCGAAAAACCAAACCAAAACAAAACAAAACAAAACAAAACAAAAAAACCTGAGTAACTGGTAGGATTCCGTTGTTCCCATGCTTGGTCCCACAGCCATGCACATATGGGAAG